GAAGAAATTGAAAATTTGTTTTAAAAATGCTATTGACTACTTTGACCTCATGGTCATCTGAACATCTCCTGAAGCTGTTTCACCAGCCAGGCCCCTGAACTATCTGACGCCCTGACACCGGGCACCCCACATGCATGGCAATGCAATGGGGACACGACAGCTCTTCCAGCCATGGGGCAGATGATCTCACTTCTCATGTCAAGGAATGGGATGCCATCGCACCCTGGGAGGGAGGATCTAGGTTGGGCATTCCCAAAGAACAGGCAGAGTCAAGACCTCTTGAAACACTGATCTGACTTGTGGTGTCTCACATCATGAGAGAAGCTATGGAGATATGAGGTTTTGGCCAGCATTGCTTGTAAATCCCCTCCTGATCTACCTGGTTCATCCCAGCAGTGGATAATGTGCTGCTATGTCTAAAACATCCCTGTGGTCAAAAGAAAGACTTATAAAACATGCTTTGTTATTTTTCATGCCCAAATCAGTCTGGGTTCTTTTAGAGACAAAATAGAAACCTCTGAAACCTTGGGGGTTATAGTGAAAATGGTAACAGCATTACAAACATTGACACTAATGCACAGGGATTTAGTTTTACATAAGTATTGGTAACATACAATCCAAGTTCCACCAGATATTAAAGAATAAACTGCAGCTTTTATCTAGTGGGTCTTTGAGCACCAATGAGGAGTAAATGATTTGATTTTGTGAGCTCGGAGGATTTGTCAGCTGCCTCATATGTATAATTCTGGCTCTTCATATTCCTGCTGCTTCTAATTTAGCAGGACAGGCTCATAATTGAAGCAAATTAACTATTTACACTTGCCACTTCTACCAGGGGAAGAGGACACATCAGCGGGAAAGAATGAGTGGGAAATTAAATTCTTCCCACTTGTGTCAGATCTGCCCTTATATAAACACATTAACAGTAATTTCATGAGGCGTCAACCATAGGAATAAATACTGAGGGATAAAATAATGAGGTGTTGCTATTGAGCTGAACTGTTGCAGCTAATATTACTGTCTATGAATTATGCAGCCTGAAAGAAAGCATCTGTCACAGCACTCAAACAGTCACTTCACCTGCTTCTTCTGATTGCTAAGTTTTGGGTGCCTGAGGTGAATCTCTCCTTCTCCCAGCTGTAGGACCAGTGCACAGTTGAAGCAAACACACAGGAACATACACAGACACAAGTATGCACACTGAGCTGTTCATAGGAGGCCAAATTAATTCCTACTAGAATTCCAGTTAAGTCACAGAAGTAACACCAGAGATTAATTTTGTTGAATGTTGAATAGACATTCAATTCCATTTTTAGAATAACAGAACATTTATTAAGGTCTTTGGCTGAAGTTTTAAAGTTACACTAATGTAAACAAGAACATTTTGTTTGTAATTTGCCACATCTATTACAGCTTTACTAGGACTCCAATTAGAAACTTAAGGTTCATTTAGTACATCCACATCTGGTACTGATTTAAAATTACTTTCCTTTTTCATCTAAGGACAGAAAATGACCTAAATAGCCTTTTTACCCAGTTTAAAGCAGTGTTCTGTCTGAAAGCCAGTGACTCAACCATTTAGCATGCTGATCCCTCTTTCCTGGGGGCTGTTTATCTCCCCTTTGCAGTAAAAAAGTGTGCAAAGGGCAAAGATGTACATAGATAAGCTATAGAAATGGGATGCACAGAAGTATAGTACTAAAGAGAAAACACTGTTTGTGATCATAAGAGAGGAACTGGAAAAGTCTCTGAAAAAAAAAATCCCAGTGCTATGCCTACAGCATTGAGGAGAAGATAAGAATGTATCTCAACACAGCTGTTTGTGATCATAAGAGAAGAACTGGAAAAGTCTCTGAAAAAAAAATATCCCGGTGCTATGCCTACAGCATTGAGGAGAAGATAAGAATGTATCTCAACACACTACTGCTACAGCTGCCTACTGTTCACATATTTATTAATATGAACAATTTTAGAAAGCATCTACAGTGAAAAATGAAGGAAAATGTACAGTGCCTGCTTCTGATCATGTATAATTATTGTACTCTATCCAGAATTTGAGAAGTCCATGACAAAGTCCACCATGACCACTAAACTCCTTTTAACTTCTAGATTCTGCGTAGATAGAGCTGGACAAACAGCATACAGGCACACACCAGCATTGTTGCAAATGGGCTTTTTACACACAGAAATGAATGGGAACATATGATTTAAAAATTCAAATATCTTCATATGTAAAATGAGAGGGAAGTACACTGGTATCTCCTTTAGTGTAATGAATTGCATTATTCTCATGGTAAGAGTATCAGAGTGCAATCCATTTTAAGCATAACCCTCCCCTAACTTCAGTAAGACCCCCACCATCAGCTAGTTCATAATCCCATTTCCTTTTTTGTCATTCAAATCCTATTTTCTCAAAAACACTTTCCTAGTTCTTCACAGTTTGAAAAACATATGTGGTTATTGCACAAAGCTTTTCAATATGCCAGGTTATCAAAATTTTGTTGCAAAGTCTTGGACATACATATATTGCCCGTAGGTCATTATTGTACTGAGTTTCTATACTTTTATTTATTCTGTGGTCAATCTTCAGGAATAAACAAGAAGAATTCTATGCATTTCAGAAAAAAATGGCTCAGATCACAGCAACAAAGAAGATTTCATTTTAGCATGAAAATATGAGGCTATTCTTCTTTCTCAATAGCCGCATTATGTTCTACTTTCTGATTCATTTATATTTACTATGTAAATAGGAAAAGGAGTTTCAATTCAGGAAACATAATTTGGAAATATATTTCTATTTAAATTCCAGAATAAGCATTAGCTTCCAAAACATAAGCCAGAAGCTTTATGATAATTGAATCCTTTTCAGCAAGTATAATTCATCAATAAAGTTGTCCTCTAATGATGTTATTGTTTCTTTATTTAACTATTTTTGGATTTCTGAAGCTTCTTCAATGCCAAATACCAATTGCTACATTAATCACTTGTATTTTTAGAGTCAAATTTTCCTACCAGATACATAGATTTCATAACAGTTACTAATGCTCTGGATCTGAAAAATTAGGCCTTTAAAATACAGATTATCTAGTCAGTTAAGATGCCTTGTAATCATTACTTTGTACTATTAGATCCCTAATGGAAAAAAAAATTAGTTTAAATTTATTGTAGAAAATAAGATTGCCAATTTTATTTTTTTTACATGGGGACTATCTTTTATTATTTTTGTACAGGGCTAGATTAGAACAGGCTTGGGCCTAGAATTTTAAAAATGTACTTAATAGATGATAACGAATGGGCAAAATGAGTCAAAAAGCAACGAAGAGATGCTAATCCAACTCTTTAAATAATTGGCTTAAGAAACATAGTTGCAGCCATTTTTACCTGCATGTGTCATATGGATTCCACAATGCATCATTCATCTGTGTTTCAACTTAAATTAACAACAGAGACAAGGAAAATAAATTTTGTTCTGTTCTTACAGCATACAACTTATTCAAATTTTGCTCTCAGCCATGAATAGGAAATTGAAGTTAAGCTGGAAATTTAGGGTTTCATGAACTTTTCTTCCACATTTCTATGGAGGAGATTTAATACTTTGGTGGTAGTACTCACATGATGAGCTTGAAGGAAATGTGCATTTTACAGTCTTTGGCCTTTGCTGGACATATTAAAAAAGGGAAAAGAAAGACACAACACACCACAAGAAAATAATGCTAATGTGCCAGTCAAAGTGACTTTTCTGTTCCTTGTGTTCAGAAAGTTATCTCTTTTCCAGCTAAACTTTCCAAACACTGGCCTTATTCATTGGTGAATACTAGATAACAACAGGTTTCGTTGTTGTTTTTTAAAAATTTATTTTCTCAATGAATGCCAAATCTCGATTCTTTTCACACTGGTATATTTAGCAAGGATCTAGATGTACCTACACCACCCAGTTATTAGCAAAGTAACCCTTTCTTTTTCCTTTTACAAGACCAAATAGCTTTACATACCAATAAATCATTAAGAAGTTTTCATTAATTCTTAGTTTTTAAGTGTAATTTTGTAATAACAGTGTATGAATGAAGGAGATTCAGTTCATTCCCAGTACTTTTCCACTCTGTGCTAACATCAACCCTAGTCCAGGTCTCCTGTAGCCAAGATAACTCTCACCCAGCACATCCTTTCCTTCCATATCTGTTGCCTTCTTAAAGTTCCCATTCCTTTATCAATCCAATCCATTCTGTTGGCAGTAAAAATGCAACCAATAACAACAGAAGAGCTATGGCATGCCACAGTGAGGATCCATGGTATTTGCCAGCTGTCACCACTTCAGTGTGATGAGCTTCCAGAGTTGCCTGCTTTTACACAGCTTTGACTGGCTTGGAATTATTTCTGCAACGTTTCAGGTCCAGCTCTGCTGGTCCCATTGCAGAACCAAGGCCTTCCATGCAAGACAGAAGTAACCTTGGGACGTGATTTCCACAGCCCACATACATGCTAGAGGATGCCCTTTGCCCGCATCCACCCTAGGTCTCTTTGGGTCAACACATCACTAACTTCTTTCATAAAAGGTGGTTTGGGAGCAAATGTGAACCCAGCTTCACTCCTGGCATCATGGGATCATGGGGAAGGGAAACATCTACAAGTGACAGCTCAAATATATGCCATCTCCCACTGCACAGATCTAAGCTTTGGCAGCAAGGTCCCCTTACACGGCAGTTTCATGTAAAGGGCAATGACATTGCAAAATCCTAGCCCCACAGATTTCAGCATTAAACATTCCTAAATATAATCTTAAAACTTGTGCCACATCCCAAAACAAGGTAAACTCTTTTAGTGGTTTCATACAGATAAAATAAAACTGTACTCTCCTTATCTCAGTCTCTTTAAATCATATTCCTGAGATGGCATATATTCAAGTTTCATCCTGGCTAACAAAAGAAGCTGCCTACAGTGCTCAGATGACCCTGATAACACTTTCCTGAAACAAAGCCCCTAAGCTGCAGCACATATTGTACCTGTTTTTGTTCTTCTCCTAAGCCGTCCCACATTGAAGCTACAATTTTAGAGACTTCACCAAAAGTAGCATTGGGGTTTTGGCCCTTGATGGCTGCTTGAGTGTCTCGAAAGAATAATGCATAGGCAGACACAGGCTTCTGTGGCTCATTTGGGTCCTTCTTCTTCTTCTTTTTGGGAGTTTTGGGTTTCTTTCCTATATCTGAAGCAGGTCTCTTCTCGCCACCGTTGACCTGTAACATAAAATTAGAAAAGTACTATTAAAAAAAGCCAGTTTAATTCACTTGGACCACTGTACAGCCTCTATGATGCAAAAACATTGGATTTTGCATGCAGAAATGGAATTTTTGTTGTTATGTTTGATAATTTAAATGTTGACACAATCTGCATGAGTTGCATATATAAAATTCACTGTAAGTATTTTGGATAATGCTATTTTTTCCCTTAAACACTTTATATTTCTCTTTCATATAATTGCAATAATGTCTGTCTGGTCATCTTTTGACCTTTTCTAAGTTTCATTGCTAGTGGCTATAACAAGAAAATAATGAGAAAATTCAAATGAAATTAGTTTCTCTATAGCCCGAGTATCAGTTCAACAACATGAACCATCTGCAGACAGCAGGAGCACTCTCATTTCTACATTTGCTTATTCTTGTCCTTCCATAGAATGACCCCAGACTACTGTTCAGATCAATTTCTTCTGCAGCTGGTGGTACATCTTCCAGGGACTTTGAAGAAAATCTAGCTGTGAACCATGCAATTCAAGTTACAGACATTCCCCTAACACATTTTCTAAATAAAGTCTGAAGAAACAAACTTTTATCAGTATAGACAGTTTAGAGCCCTTTAAAGGATCAGTTTTTACCTATCTGGATTTGGCTGAGTAGTTTTTATATCTGCTCACATAAAAGCAAATGGTTTGAGGAAAGGAGTGAAAGAGGAATGGTGTATGGAGGAAAGCTCATGTGCCTTATTTATTCAGCACCTGAAAAAAACCCTGCACATGAGCATTTGGGCAAATGCCAAAGCACCCTATTTTCTTAGTGAAGCTGGTGAAGGGTCTGGAGCTCAAGCCTTTTGAGGAGCAGCTGAGGAAACAGGTTGTTTAGCCTGGAGAAAGAAAGGAAGGCTCAGCAGAGACCTTATCACTACAACTGATACAACTGCTTGAAAGAAGGTTGTACCAAGGTGAGGGTTGGTCTCTTGACCCAAATTACAATCCATAGAATGAGAAGAAATGGCCTCAAGTTGCCCCTGGGGAATTTTAGATTGGATATTAGGAAAAAATTCCTCACCAAAAAGATTGTCAAGCATTGGAATGGCTGCCCAGGGAAGTGGTGGAGTCACTCTCCCTGGAGGCATTTAAAAGATGTCTAGATGTGGGCTCATGGGCACATGGTTTAGTGGTGAGCTTGGAAGCGGGAGGTTAACAATTCAACTCCATGATCTTAAAGGTCTTTTCCAACCTAAATTATTCCAAGATTCTATGACTTAGAAGCACATAAAGGGACAATAACCTGATTCTTCAACACATTGGAGCTCCATGGCAAAGTAGCTTTTCTTGATATGATCACTTAATTTACTGTAACTGTAGAAATGGTGTGTGATCTTACAAGTGGGTTCAAAGGCTTTTTTCTTTTGTCGGCATGACCAAAGCACTGTGCATCATAAGCATTTTTAAGAGAAGAGAAGATCAAGAGCATAAATGGTATGCTCTAGGCTAAGGATCTACTAGGCATGACTTCTTTCACTTCCTTCTATTATTATTTTTTAATAATGCGTATCAAGTGGCACAGGAGGATACAGGTGTTCAAATCATTGGAACTGCATGAGGAAAATGGCTGGAAATCCTCATTTTGAGAAAAATAACTTTTAAATTTTCCTATATGCCTTGATATGTGGTGTCCAATAGAACCCAAGTGACTACAGTAAAAAATCTGAATCTCTGTGGATTACTAAAAACAACGACACAGTGATGACCAGAAATTGAAAATGAAGTTGCTTGTTTTTTGAGCATTATGTTACAATAGCTGCAACTTTAATACAAAATTAATAGACATGCAGCCTATTGTCAACATTTGGAAAATATGGAAAAGCAAAATTGTCCCATCTTTTATTAAATTATTCAGATTTTTGTCTCTTGCAATAGCAATTCTACAGGATACACAAAACTAGCAGTTAAAGTATAATTAATTAGACCTCTAATTTGAGAAAATTAGTCTAAACTTTTCAGAAGACCAGTGCAACTGAAACATCACGAGCAAGTAGACTTTGAAATAATTAGTTCTATAGTTAAAATTTTACCCGTGTGATTCACTAACATTTTTCTCCTTTCAGTTTATTGTGATTTAAAAGTTCTCTGTATGTTAGGATACCACATCACTTCAATCACACTTAAACTAGGAGATATACTAGAGAAACTTGTGTAAGTGCCTTCTGGTAAGCTGTTCTGTGAACAGCTCTAAAAACTTATTCTCCAACCTTAATGATCAAGAGACTTCAAAAACCCACTGTTAAAAACAGAGTACTCACAGGGGAAATTCTGTTTGTCTTATATGAAAATAACAAAATAAAAAGAATACCAGAATTCCAGTACTAATAACCTTGCAAATGGCTGAGATGATGGTCTACCTTATGCTCCCATCAGTCTATCAGCTTCATAGACTCCACTTCTAACCACCAAGGCAGAGACAGATGGAAAATAAAATAAAAACCATATATATTCTGCTAGGCATAGACTTGTGCCTCAAAATCCCTGGAGGTGTAGTTAGCTCATGGTAATCCACCTCCTGTCATGGCTTATTGCTTAATTATGGTGATGTATTTAACTTATTTATCATAAGAAAGCAATAATATTTCACTTTAAAAAAGTGTCCATTAACCATGTTGCACACCTAATAGATCACAAGAATATCTAGTGTAGGATTTAAAACTATCAAGTAAGGCACATCGTTGATATCTAAATGTCCCTTGAGAACCTGGAAAATGTCTATAAGCATATTTAAAATAAACTGCAATAGTACCAAAGCCTTTAATGGAGCTAGGAGAGCTGTTTTATGCACACTATCTTGCAGTAATCGCTGTAGTTTAAAATAGATTTTAATCAAGCACCATCTGCATAATAGGCTGAACAGACAACACAGAATTCCACTTATAACTCCTATCATATAAAGTAAATATTGCAAAACCTCTGCCACATAAGGAGAATATGCTGCAGCAGTTCTTTAGTAATTGTATTTCTGTTATTTAATTCTTGCTACTTGCAGTCCTCTTGCTATCTTTCCTCTAAAATGCATTATTTGAATTTCTCTCATAAGTGATATGCAAATTAACATGGAAGAAGACCCTGTTACCCATCTATGAAGAAATACTTATTTACAAAGCAGTAATGCTTCCAGCAGCTCACAATTATGCTTGGCAATAACAAAGTACAAGTTTAATGATTCAACAGTGTGAATTATGGCAAGAATTACACAAATTTAATATTCCAAAGTTGAGGTGGTCAGAATAAGGCTAAGTGGCCACTTTGATTAGAATGTTTTTGTAGTTACTTGCAACTACTAATTTTTAAGTCCTCCCTTTTTTCTGCTTCTAACGATAGGCCCACATATGAGATTTGTAAGTATTAAGGAGCCTTAGTGATGTGCACCCTTCGCAGAGACAATACCCTTAGTCTGAGTTTCCATTGCACAGTTCCATGGTCTTACAGCTCCCTGAATGTATATCCAGCCTTACAACTATGCTACAGTTGTCACTGATCTCATGGTCAAGCAACCTCAGCTGTCCTGCTTTTAGAGCCATAACATGAAAGGAAACTGAGCCCTCTATAATGCAGCTCCTTTCCCTTCCAAGGGAATATAGGACAGTTGAAGTCTGAACAGCCTATATGAAATAGTTTTTATGAGAATGAGTATTGCCAAACAACATTTAGCAGCTGCTGCCATTAGTTCTGTGTATGTTGGATAAGGCTTACAACAATTTGAATATTTATCGTGTAATGAACATCCACGAAGCTCCGTACATGAACAATTACATCAGTTTATAAAGCTTAATACTGGAATTTGGAATATAAGTATTCAATATATATATAGTCTATATATATATATATTGAATTGAAATGGTCATTTCCTTCATTCACGGAAATCAGTGGTTCATAGGGCAATAATTATACTTTTAGTCCAAATGTGTACACAAAGTATGTATTTTTTACACCTTCCATCATGCTCTTTCTATAAATTCATATAAATATTAACAGGATATTGAGATCTCTGTATTTTTTTTTTTTTTTAGATAGAAGTAGGTATAGTTTTTAGGGACCTCTCTACCAAATATGCTATGAAAAGACCAGTGGCTTCTCTTTCACACATTTCAGTTGGTATAAACTAGAGAGAGGTCATTTGATATTGAGGTGATTTTCCATTTGGAAATGTACTTTGTCTTTTTCATCAATGTGGGTACACAGTCAAACATCTTGTACCACTGGATAAATAGAGAGAATGTCACTATTTCTATTAATGACAAGATGAGTTCAGGGGGAGTTGTTTTACATACTTTGTGTACACATTTGGACTGCATTTTTTTTATGCAGTGCTCATGGCAGAAACATCTCTGACTGCACAAAGTGAACTCCAACAGCGACCCCATGACTGCAGCATGTGCATTCCTACCAAGGACTGGCTAATGAGCTCTGGCCCTGATCTATTAAATAATACCACACATCTGCATGATAGTTTATAAATCAAAGAGAAAAATCCAAATTTCACATTCAGTTAAAAGACAGATGTTCTCACAAGAGACAGAACAGTCGGTCTATCTGTTCCTGTACCCATCCAGTGCCTTCTTTCACTTGGAAGAGGATTTCTGGAGCGAGAACTTTCACAGGCCCCTCCAAAGCAACTCTGATAAAATGTAATACTGTTGTATCTGGGGAGAAAGATCTCCACAGCAAACTGGTTTATTCTGAGTATTCTTATCCACTCATTGGCAGCTTCCAGGAAGAGCAACGTGACAAAAAGATACACAGTGGAGAGCTTTAAATCTTGAAGTACAAGACACAACTCCTCAGGCTAATTATTCAACCCCTCTTGTCTTTTACAGAGGAAACTACGGAACCATTCCATGGGATCAGGTGTGCCAGCCCACAGCCTGTCTCCATTGGTGGCCAGCCTCAGGTGTTTTCATGAGGCCCTAAGAAATCCCACAGAAGACATTTATAGCATTATCTGCTCCCCATGAAGCTTGCTGTTTAAACCATACTCAAGGGAGAAGACTTTAAGCCTCTGTCAATATTAACAAAATGTAATATCCTTTTAAACTTAACTTTTAGCAGTGAAATTATAAATATAATTTTAAGGCAATGTATCTACTTTAACATAGTGGATTTAATTTTGTGTCATGCATTGTGCCATTTGTCATCTTTTTCTGCTTAGACTAAGCATGAAAGAATTTTAAAGAAAGCAACATCCTTATTAAAAGTTGAATGCTATATAAACTGGTTTTCACAAAGAAAATACCAATTTTACTTAGTCTGCAGTGCTTTGTATTTCTCTATTAAAAACATTAGCTTCAGATAACTAATACTTGCTTTAAATCACAGCCCTACACTTCTGTTAGTGCTAGCACAAAGTGCTACAGTGAAAAGGTACTTGAAATATACAGATTAAATAACTGAAGTACTTGATAGAAGTAGAAAGGAAATCCAAATTATTTGAATGGATATTTTCTCCAGAAGTTTAGAGCATCTTGCACACTCTCAGAAATGTAAAATATTAGCAATGCAAGAGGAGTAGCAAATAAATTATTCTGAAAAAGTAAAGGCTGCCTGGAATTATTTTTACATAGCTGTAGTCTAAAGTCTCCTTCAGTAAGGAAGTGCTCATTTAAAATGTATGAATTATTCAGTAGTTTTTAAAACCTAAAGTTTGTGAAATCAGGGGAATGTCCTGAAATAAAACTTTTGAATCAGAATTTATTCAAAATGTAGTAAAACATATGTCTCCAATTACATTATTATTTTATAGCTCGAGGCATGAAAAACAATATAATGTTAAAACAAATCAGACTCACATTTCTTGACTGGATTATACCTCCTCAGTGACTCACAATACGTTTTCTTCTCGTTCCCTGCAAGTCTGCAACTTTTCCCCACCAGGTGTCTGTGGTACACACTGCACTGCATGTGGCACAAACTGCACTGCAGGAGTGCTCTAACAGGATTGCCTTTTTCCAGTAACCACAAAACAGAGCAAAGGAGGTCCCCAGTTTCTACATACTATATTCCTGGTTTAAGGGATGACTTAGTACAAAGTCCCAATCTTCCCATGTCTCAGGTTTTCTATCTGCAAAATTAAGATAATAGACTTGTGTATTTCTGGGAAATTTTCAGGATTTTGGGAGATTTGGGAGATTTTTGTATGCAAAACCTGCTATATAGATTGACATTTATCCTTTAAAGAAATTTATTATGTAAATTTCTCTTATCACTTCATTCCTGCACTGACACAAAAATGAAGCTTAAACATGTCATGATGAAGTGTTAGCACCTCTCAAAAGTATGAACGCATACAGGGTCTTCCAGATTTTCAAGGTAAGGTTTTTAAAGTTCATAGGATCTTTCTGTTCTGGTTGCTATGATGTTCTGTTTACTCATCCTGTGACCAAGTAGCAAAGACTAGCATATTGCACAGACTGTTCATACTTTTTATAGCAGTAACTTGATCTTTAACTGGGAACAAACATCCCTGCTATGCAAGCAAGAAAACTCAACCCTTATATTAAAGTCCTAAAGGAATGACTATCCTTTCAGTGTTCAACAGTATTCCAGTTTGCTCCCACAAAGAGGAATGATGCAATTTACTCAAGCTGCCTGAAGAATTGTCTGGAATTGTAAGTTCTGTATTCATAACCCTTTATTCACTTCAGTGAACCACCAATCATGTATAAAGTATCACCTTAATAACTGTGGCCATATCATTCATTTAGCAGGTCCTAAAAATATCCACCATTTACATAGTAATCCTAGCATCTAAGCCTACCTTAGAGCTATCTTCTCCTTCATCTTCATGGACTGAACTGGATGGTGAAGGAGTTGCAGATTTGCTTCCAGGTGGAGAGGGCGAGTTGTGAGGAACACTGTTTCCACCCATATTCAAACCAAGCTGTGCACTGAGCTGGGACTGGTTAATAGTAGTCAGCTGCCCATGCTGCATCATTCCTGGCTGCCTAATATCTGCAGGTTGAACCCTTGGCCTCATGGTTGCCATCTGAGGATGGGAACTATACTGGGCTCCTTCTGTATTCCGTATATCTTGCATCTACAAGAGGAAAAAAACTGTATTAAGCATATCACTAATAAAGTGTTCTGTTCCTTTAGACCTCGGTTGGCCTGATTGGCTATGTAAGGCTTAAAGGAAATGGCAAGTACTTAAATAAACATGTAAATACTGAAAATAAACATAGTAAGGATATGATTGACATTTGCAAAACACTGACTGTTATAAAGAATTCAGGCTCTAGCCTCAGCCCTTGGAAATAGCAAAAAAAACAATGTGAGCTCGGGTTTTTTCATGGGGGAACAAAAGGGCACTGCTTGCTGTAACTATGTGTAGAGTATTTCTGAAATGCTAACAAACAGGGACAGCTTTGCCATCTGAAGTTCAGACCTAGACCAGAACAATAACATCTTCAAAATTCAAGATAACTTCCAGATCCTGCTTTTTTAACTTAGGATTTTGGTGGTTTTGAGTTGAGATTTGAGACCTGCAGGGAATTTTCAGAGTCTGAGTATCTAGTATTAGGTCCAAATCTATTTTACCTGGTGCTGCCCAAGGAGAAACTGGACTTTTCAGGATTCAGACCATTGACAAGAAGGATGCATTGATAGACTGATTAAATGATTTCTGAGTCGATTTACTGCTAAGACATATATGAATGGAAAGCTCAGAAATCGCAGGATTGACAAATGAATCCATTGTGCTATGTGGGTCACAGCTTCTTAGCATTAACGAGACATACTATTTGAATGCAAGCAACAGATTCAGCCTCTGCAAGGATAAGAAGTAAAAGCACTGGAGGATGAAGCTCCTTTCTTGTCCAGAGGTCAAATGCACCATACACACAGACCTCAGCAGATTGCCTGTAACCTCTTTTCAGCATACTCATACAGAAACATGACAAATAGCAAAGAATATCAGAGAGAAGCTCACATTTAAACTAAGATGTTCTGTGGGTGATTTAAAATGGAAGTATCAATTCAGAGCTGAAAAGAAATAGATATGGTTGTCTATCTGTGCATCAGACAAACATGTGTGTAAGTATAAAGTAGAATCTGACAGAAGCTACCATTGTGTAAGTTCCATTATGATAAGGACATGTGTTAGTGGCTCAATATATTAACATAGTCACATTTATTCTACTGACAATCTTTGTTAGACATGTCATCTGAATTATCTAAAGATTACTCAGATTTCATTTTTTTAAAAATCTTTTTATAGCTCATGACTTCTATAACCTATGTCTTGCTCATATACACACTCCCACATATCACGGCAATCTGTAAGATACCTTTCAACCAGTAACACATAGGAAAAAGTAACAATAAACCCATAACTGCATATTTTCTCTTATTATTGACAGTGTAAAAATGTATCAATTTTTGGGAGTTATTTTATTTTATGAGCTTGGGGATTGATTTTCATAAAGGTGACTGGTAGGCAGTAAATCAAGCCAATAATACCATTACTTATGGCATACTTACCACTTTTCATGTACTTTTGTCTCTGAAAGAGAATTGGCTTCTGACAATGTGACATCACAATTACACCTGTATTTATGTTATTTTAGAAATTAATAGCTTTTGGTAAAAAAGAGTTATCGATACAAACTTGTTTTCCAAGTTCATTTAATGACTAAAGCACCGAAGGTGATGAGCACAGAGAGCACAGTGGATGAAATCAATTGAAGGCTGAAATTTGAATCCTGGTAGACGTTTATATTTTTAAATTACTACTGATTTCTTGGTCCCTTCCCTCCAGTATCAGCTCCCTCCTTGCCAAGCATATTAGCCTTGAAAGCTATTATCATTATCTCTGCCTCCAGCAGACAATCTGTATCATGACAGTTGTGCCCATGAAGCTGTAACTGCTGCTCAGACACTTTGCTCTGGATCCAGCTGTTGAGCTGGGCAGCAGCTGGGGAAAGTGGAGCAGCACTGGGGGGTCTCCAGGTCCTCTTGGCCAGCATGGGGCAAAGAGTAATGGGAAGGGAACTCACACAGTCCCTCACGTGCTGGGCACAGAGAGGCAAAACCTTCCCCAAAGCCTTCCCTTCACCCTGTCTGCCACACTCAGTGTGGGTGTGTGGCCTCCCCAGGCACTCTTCACCCTGCAGGGGCTGAGCCCTTGGGTTTTCATGAGGCAGCATCTCATGGTGTAGAATAAACCCTTTCAGGAAAGGCTGGAAAGGCTTGACTGCTTTTTAGGAAGGGTAGGCATCCTAATGATTTTATGAACTCTAGAAATGCAACAACCACTATATGAAACTCCTATCTATCTCTAAAAGCAGAGCAAGGGCTACCATTTTCATTACTTTCCCTCAAATAAAATATGATACAATTGTTTTAACTGATGCACAGGAAGCTCTACCTGAATATGTGGAAGAACTTATTTATTGTGTGAGTGAATGGGTGACTGTTCACTGGAATAGATTGCCCAGAGAGGTTGTGGAGTCTACCTCACTGGAGATACTCAAGAACCATCTGGATGCAATCCTGTGCCATGTACTCTGGGATGAGTACTTATCAGGAAGCCTGGACCAGATGACCCAGTGTGGTCCCTTCCAACCTGACCTGTGATTCTCTGATTCTGCTATTATTCAAAAAGGTCTGTCCTTTAAGAGCTTCAAATATCAGATAGATAATACAGAACATTCTGTATTTGTCTTCTTTAAACAACATATATTTTTAAACAGTCTGCAATACAATTTTAACTCCAGTACTGAACATAGGCTGTGTTTTCAGATAATATAACAACTGAACAGTACTGAATGTATCTCCATACAAAATACATGTGTATATATATTTGCAAGAGAACACTTCACCAGGGAAATTCGGAGGACTGCAAATGAAGTGGTGGAGTAAAAAAACTCCAGTATTTTCTTTTCACATTAATTCAGCTTCTCTCCTGAATCTTTAAATCAGATGAATACCAGGCCACCTTCAGAAAACCAGATGTAAGCAGCAAATAAGCTTGTTTAACAGTACATTTTCTCTTTCAGATGCTAAGCCAGAAACTCCCACCTAAGGGATCTGCCTGCAGAGAACAAGCCAGTCTAAGTCCATCTCACAGTGCTGTGGCACTCAGGATCCACAGATGTAATTCACATCTGCTGGTGAGGCTTCTGGCTCACCTCTTTACCATGCACTGCAGAGCCTGCTTTCTCCCATCCTGTCTCTACCTGGTGAAAAAGTGGGATTGTCTAAGAAAACGGAAACTTCTCATTCCTTCAGTAAGAATGGGCAACTAATCACATAAATGTAAAACGTTGTGACATCACACTGTGGAAAACATGAACTTTCGTGTTCCTAAAGGATCAAGAAAACCAAGAATTGTCCCATCTCCTCTGTAAGTTCAAGAACATACTCAGCCACGAAAACTAGACACTTGGGTCACTGCTGTGGCATAATGGTGTGTCCCTATCACTGATGCTGTGACAACCTCATCTCTGCAGACTAGTAACACTAATCAGACACACACTCTGTCAAAATGTATGACCAATTTCTTCTAAATTACTTCAAAATCTGAAACCTCATATTCCTTGCTCCTCCAGATGGAGTTTTACAAAGCGCACTGCTGTGTGGCTGTGCTGGAGCCATATTCAGTATGCAGAGGCAATACTGTGAACACATTCCTGCCGAATGCAAAGCTGAACCGAAATCCTGACAGATGGCAGAATGCCAAATAGAAGAACAAAGTTAGAGAGTTTTGAGTGTTACAGAGGATAAGGAGAGTCTTAAACTGATGTCTTCAATGGTCTCTGTGATGAGGTAATAATGATAATATCTGGCGCTTTAATATCATTCTCCATCTGTCAGTTCCAGGATGTTTCACAACTTGAGTTATATTCAGTTTTAGAACATGCCTGGTTTTATTTTGGTTTTACTAATGGGGAAGCTATGATACATTTCTTTTCAGGGTTATTTTTTTTTCCTGTTTGCATTTTGCTTATAAGCAGAAATTGAGCGTTTAGCCAAATAATTGTTTGTTTGCAACTTAAAAGACAGTACAAGTCCCTAAATTCAAGGTGTATACCAAAGCTCCTTATTGACACATGGGTAGTGCAAAACCAGAACAGGGCTGTCTGGTTGAAGATGAGCTCCTAATGCCCTGCTCAAAGCTCCTGAGGTACTAAGAATAAGTCTAAAGAGCTTTAAACATCAGACTATTGTTCATCCCTTCAGCTTACAGTAAAAACAAAGCAAAGCATACAGTGATATCATCCCTGTAATGAAACATCTCATGGCAGGACAATGTGAGTACAGTATCCTCATCACAGAATCACAGAAAATAGTGCTAGAAGGGACCTCAAAAGGTTATTTAGTCCAACATTATCTCACAGCAGGTTTAGCTATACCTAAATCATTTCTGACATATGTTTGTCTAACCTCTTCATAACCTCCCTAGGCAATTCTTGTGCTTAACTATCCTTATAGTGGAAAGGGCTTTTTTCCATAATGTCTCACCTAAATCTCCTGTGTTGTAATTTAAACCTACTAGTTTTTGCTTTGCTCCCAGTGGACATGAGGAATGTTTTTCTCCTTTACAGAAAAGTAGTGCACACTAGAAGGCTATTATGAATTTCCTTTCAGGTTTTTCTTTTTTACACTAAACAACTAAACCTGAAGATTGAAAGACTTTGTTTGTATGTTGTGTTTTTTACACCTCTTATCATTCTTTCAGCTATCTTCTGGACTATATCCAATAACCTTGATATTTCTTGAAAGATTGTGCTCTGAAGTCCACAAAATACAGATATTTTCATCTGACACAGCATTCAGATAGAATCCTTCATCTCTCACAGAAGGTAGCACATAGCAATAAAAAACTCCAAAATGAATTATCAGCCTTTTGATACAAGCTGGTTAACACATGCAAGATGCAGAAAGAGTCAAATTGCAGGACTCTTAACTAATGTCCCAGAATGTAGCTTTAGGAAGCAAATAATTTTCTTCTGAGAAGCATCAGACAGGCAGTTTCAAAGGGAATGTGCTGTTAGCAAAATAATCCACATTATTTTTCTAGTATAATTAATAACCATG